AGCAGATATTTTATCAATCTTCTTTCTGTCTAGTTCCTCAAAGTATGTTTCCTATCACCAAGTCGTGTATTGGTTTCTTTATACACATGGCTTCAAGATCTCCTAGATAATATGGAGTATCCATCTTTTTTCTTTTTTTTTGATATAAGAAATTTTCTCACTGTTGCATCAATTAGCAAACACAGGCGTACCTTGCCTGTCATCTGATCATCGAATACTAGACTGGTTCTCGCTGCTGCACTACTGCACCCAGTGTCTTGTAGAACCTTCACTTTCTTGTCCCCTATATAGCCTTTACATATTGGCATGTTATTATATGTTGGCGCCTCTTGATAATTGTCGCATGCTCCCATCACTATTGGCGCTGTTGGTCATTTTGCAAATTTGAACCGACTATTAGTCGTGCACTGATCAATCATGCTTTCTTGTATTGAATTTGACAAGGATTCTTGGTTCTCTTTCTTTTGGCAGCAGCATCCATAGTGCCAGTCATTCTTTTCTTGTTTCTTACCAGCACTGTTTTTGTAAATGGCTCCAGCTGCTTTATGTTGAGGTTTCTGCTGTTGTTTGCTGGTAATGGACTTGCACTCTTTTTCAATGTGTCCCGTTTTATAACAAGCATCACATCTATTCTTCCTTCTGTCTATTAACTTCCTATCACCTTTGGTAAACTCCTGCTTCTGGTCAGCCATTACTGGTTTCAAATTTAACTGGACATTCTTGGATTTGCCAGTTATACTACCTCCACAGGCTTCCATATACTGTGTTCTGCCAGCTTGATCATCTTGTGTACACCTTTTGTGGCTCTCTCCTTTAGGAACAGTGACATGTCAGTTGAACACGTGGTCATGAACTGTTCACGTACTAATAGGTCTGCAAGTCCCTCAAAACTATTTTCCCAGATGGCCATGCCAATCCATCTGATGAAATATCGCCGAAGACGTGCCACAAACTGAAATACAGTTTCTCCAGTGTCGGGCTTGACTCCTCTGAACTTCCGACGAAAACCTTTTTCAGTAAGTTCATATCATTTCAGTAAACTACTTTTAAGTTTTCATAATCCATGGAATCTTCTGACGTCATGCTTCATATACTTGTAGGCCTTTTCCTGTGAGAAGTGGGCTGAGACAGACTGCCCAGTTACCTTTGTCCAAGTTCTCAGTTTGGCCGAATCTTTCATATATCTCCAGGAAAGCATCCATGTCATCTTTATGTTCATCAAATTTGGACAGCTTGGGTCGACTAGCCCTGACTCCATTGTCATTCTTGGGTCATTCTCTTTCGGTTAGGTGAGTTTTGCTATCTCAATTTGTGCTCATATTCTCTTTATTTCTAGTCTCTCCTATCTCTCTTTTTCCTCAATTTGTGTTATCATTCTTTCTATTTCTAGTCTCTTCTCTCTTTCTTTTTCCTCAATTTGTATTCTCATTCTTTCTGTTTCTAGTTTGTCCTTTCTCTCATTTTCTTATTTCCCTCTTTCTCTTTCTTCTTTCTCAATTTGTCTTTTTTGTTGCCGTTCTTGGCAATGTGTCACATGAAACTGCACATACCTGAACAAATACCAAATTAGAAAACAAAAATGTGTATTAATACAAGGAGGCAGAAAAGACATGGTATGTTTATATACCACAACAAAATCAGAAAAAAAAAAATACTGAAGAAATTATATGTTGTAAATATAAAACACATAAGCGGCAGAAGCAGCTCCGATAAAAAAACAATAAAAAACAAAATTCATTGTCCTATTATGAAAATTAGTGACAAAAAATTCAAACCAGTTTGTGGCAACGTGATGAGACATTTGCTAATTTTCCAGTTACGAGAATATGATAGGTAACTTTATAGTAATTAATAAAAAAAATTCAAATATTAAGTTGACATTCGATCTTATCTTGATTCAAGATATTTTAATATATAATCAACGATATATGTCTGAAGTTAATATTTGCCGTCAATCAATGTTTATCGGTTTTATGTTCACTTATATAAGAAATAACCTAAAATTAAGTTTATGTATGTCACACTGTGAGGGAAATTTTAAAATCATCCGTTATTTTTTATATCTTGTTGAGTTATAAGATCCAGTTACGAGAAAAGATATGTATTAATTGAAATTTAAAATAGTTTATTAATTTGAAAAAAAAAAATATATATATAGACATGAGTTCAAATACGAAATATAATATAATTACTAAACAAGAAACATACTGTTTAAAACATAAAATCTGTTAAAATTCTAGTTCAATTATAAAGCACAATTAATAAAAAGAAATAGTGTATACGAGGTAAGGTAAAAACAGTAATTACTAAAGGCTAGTTTAAGTATCTTTTTAATTACCTGTTACGGCAGAAATCATTGATAATTTTCGCGTGGACAAAGAAAACATGAAGAGAAATAACAAGTGGAAAAAAAGTCAGAAGTGTGGACGGGTGTAAAATAAATATTTTGTATATTATCATATTGAGGTTTACAGATAATTTTACTTCAGACTTTTGAACCCCATGCATTTTGAACTGCGATGATAAACAGCACCATGCGTGCTCTACTACTCTCTAGGTGTCTTATCCGGTGTTCTTCATGAACACTGGCGATTAATAGGAATTTCACATAGCCACTTTCAGTCGGAAAATATTGAGCAATTTAGTGACGCGTGTTCTTTTTTTTTGTCTTGTTTTTTTCATATAGAAATGATAAATAACAAATAACGATAAGTACTATCTCCTATTTGCAATACTGTTGTTACATGTTATGTGAGTCCGGTTGTTATCGTTACAAGACGTAGGTTTTTTTACATGCCATGCGACCTACAGAATAGTGTGTTCGTTGTTGCTTCTTAATCATCAACTTCCAAATATACACGTCGCATTAATTAAAAATTACATGACATTCTGCTTGATAAACAACAACTCAATGAAATACTAAAGAAAGAACATGTGTTACAGCTAGATCGACCTACTCTTTGTTTGTTGTTAAGTACGAAGCTACATAATGGGCTACCTGTACTCTAACCAACACGGGTATCGTGTTAAATATTAAATATCATATTAAATTAAATATGACCCCCCACCCCCATCCCTAGTGGCACAGCGGTATGTCTGTGGACTTATAACGCTAGAAACCAGGTTTCCAAACCTGTGATGGAAAGAGCACAGATAGCCCATTGTGTAGCTTTGTGATTAACTACAAACAAACAAAAGAACATAATTAAATGTTCCTGTACCGAGCAAAATAAATTTTATGTACAGTTATTATCATTAAAGATAAAATACATTTGATTTTAGGGTTGACAGTGAATCTTAAAGTATTATGATATAGCCCGGTGGCGAATGAAACGTTCCTTAATAACAGTGATTCTACGATTTTTATATTACGTTAGATATTTAATCTAATCAAAATCTTAAAAACATTATAATAGATTCCTCCGTTCAAACTAATTAAATTGTTTTAGTAGAATGATAGTATATGTGTGTGTGTGTGTTTCCTTTGAAAAAGTGTCCTAAAACGACGTATATGTTTATATATAAATAATTATTTAAAAAAACACAGTTAAAGCTGTTCTTACTCTATGTTACGAAATATCATCTAAAAGTTATTTGTTTTTAGTAATAGCTAGTTGAAACATGTATAACTTTTTTAATATTATGAATTAACATCAAACTAAATGTTACAGTATATATATGTAGTACAAGGAAGTTTCACAAGGTATTCAGTTTAATCAGTTTTTTTTCATATAAGAATGACAAATTTGGATATATCAAAAGTTAACATTTTTTTTTGGGGTAATCATGGAAATAAGTGAATTCGTAAATGTGGTTGTTAGACTGAAAATAGTAATACTTCGCTAAATATTTTGTACTTGGTTATTTATCCATTTCCAAATATATTAAAATATAAAAAATAACTTCAAAATCTCATTTCGCAAAGGGGCTGGAGATTCAATGCTTCATGGAAAAGAAAGAAACTGTTTGAATGATTAAAGAAAAAAACTTTCTGACTGGACACAGAATTTCACATTGAGAATTCAGAATATCTCAAATAGTTTGTAACTAGATTTTTCCATCATGGTAATAACGTGACTTAATAGCACTAAATTAAAACAGAATTATAGTGATATTTGGAAGTGTAAATATATTGGTTAACTGCTTTTATTTTCATGGTGGATTCTTAATCAAGAATCAAAACACGAAATATAGTGATTAAACGGACGTGTTATACCTTGAAAAACAGCGAACAACAATTTGTTAGTATTGTTACCATCGTTATACGATTTCTACGGTTCCCTTAGTAACAAATGAGCATCTAAAGTAAAAATGTGTAGGTATCAAGATAAATATGACAAAAAACTTGTTTCTTATAACAAGAAGGTTTTATTTAGTGTTCTACTTTATAATATATTAACTGGCATGCAAATGAAAGAGTTATCCCTAAAAAACATTTTACGAAAAAAAATTAAAGAACAGTTATTGTGTTGTTCTTATATTCTTGAGTGAAATTTTGCCGCAACGGTAACTCAGAGTCTTCCGTAGATGTGATGAAACGACATATTAGCAGATATATCAGTGCTTAGAAGGCCTCATGAGTCCATATATGCTAAGGGTGTTTTATAGAATTATATTAACTATCAGTTTACACTAACAGTTTCTCAGTTTTCTAATATTACCACTTTTATGTTATTAAACATAACTTTTATGATTGAAGGGAAGAGCATGTCATCTCTACCTCTAAATCTTCAGCGAATCAGTTAAATGGAAAACTATTCTTGGAAAATCACAAATGGCTTTGAAAAATGATGAGGCCAAAGCCTCAGCAGTTGATTTGGCCTAAACTAATATACACAACTAGCTAGCACTGAAAATGCATAAATAAAAATAAGGGTTGTCATACAAAAGTATTTCCCGTGGAATTCAGGTTAACTTGAAAAAGGTGTCCGGCTGTTATCACAACGCAAAACATCTGTTGTATCCCTACGTTATCAATGGTACCAGGACTAGAGCAGAGTAGAAGATAACCCGGCTGTCCAGTTTCAGCTATAAAACTCTGAAGATGTGGTGTTGAAGCCAGTTTACTCCAGTAGAGTAATTCAACAGACTCAGGTGAGTCTTTTTAAATTCTCTATCCGTAATCAGAACTAGTCAAAGGGTTAGAGTAAGATATTAACAATCTTATTATACAGAAAAGTGTTATCATTTTAAATTTTTTATTGTAGATTTGAAGCTGCCTATTTTTTTCTGTGAATATTTTAAGTCATTATACAATTGTTATGGTTTTAAAAGTTTTATGTATTCATGAATTAACTGAAGTTAATCGTGCCACAAGTGGCGCTGATGTGTGCAGTTCAAACTTTTAACGAGCACTTGATCTACACTTATTTACAAATATAATACATCAGAGAACAATGTTGTCCTTATTTGAGTGACCCTAATAATATATATATATATATATATATATATATATATAA